AAAATTATCAATAACATACAAAAATTTTGTAGAGATGCAATGTAAATAACTAACATAAGATTTGAAGGATATGTTATGTAAAATAAAGTAATTATAACAGTTAAAAGATGCTATAATAACAATATCAATGTGCATTGGTGTAATATATTGTAAAAGTTAAAGACTGTGGTAATATTATCTAACTCAAAATTTATGAAAGCTACAATAGAAAAGGTTAATTTCGATAAGATGACGGAAACTGGAAAATGATTTAATGTGTACAAACAAGTGAATGATAAAAGTCCCAAATTTTACGATATGTAGAAGACTCTGGAAATACCGATCGCGAAGCATTTGATAATATAGCTTGCTGGCATATGACATATGCAAACCTTGTACCAAAATGTTAAACACATTCAACAATCCTTATAGAAAATGTTAGAAAAACACAGATATGAGACAAAGTCCAATTGCTTTTAATTGCGAAATTATTGGCATTCCTATTATTTTTTGTTTTTACTAAACATTCAATAGTCGTATTAATTACTTGAGGCTATACTTTGTACTTTCTTGGACACCTAACTTACAATCATCAGTAATACAGTTGCTTAATTAAGGTTCAAAGCGTTCTGTCTCTTTGAGACATGGCATTCCATGAGGCAACCATTTCCGGATAACCGTCATGACTCTGAAGAGCTAGTTTGCCCCTTGGTTCCAGACATTCGAAAGCAAAACTCTTTCTTTTCATCTGATGTAAGCCAATGAAAGGAAAAATTACTGAAATGAACATCGTAAAGGATTTGTTTTGTTGTAAAATTCACTTGAACTATCGCCAATTTCAAATGAAACGTTTCCATTCACTTTATAATTGTGCTGAATAGCGTGAATTCTTTCCATGTCTGGATCAACACCGACAACTCGACCTTTTTTTCCTACAATCTCCCCAATAAATGAGGTCAGCTCTCCCGTTCCGCAACCCATATCCAAAATTTTATCGCCTTGTTGAATGCCAAGTGTTATTGCAAGCTTTTTGCCATAATGTAGTTGAAAATTGTTATTTCTAGAGTATTTTGCAGCATCCCCATAAATTTGTTTGTTAAGCACTGCTTCTAGTGATGTTATCATTATTTAGAAAATGAAATCAATGAGATAATTTAAATAAATACGAGCCACTTATCTTATACATATAAAGCCCACCTACTTTGATTTTAAAGAAAGTATTGGCATCGGCTTGCAAATCTTTTATTGACTCGTGCACGTGTACTCATGACGTCATAACAAATATAAACACTGAAGTTACTATCGAAAGGAAAAATTCTCCTCTCCCCTTTATTCCATATAGCAATCACAAGACAATTTTTGATAATCTGAAAAATCATTTGTGTCGCTGCCACAGGCAATCTTTGTAGAGCTTCAATTGCTTTAAAAAATGAACCACTATACGACATCAAAAGACAGTGCATGTTGGCATTATTTTTCTACAACAGAAATACGTCTTCAAACAAAGAATAATATGATGTCGACACAGTCACACTGAGTTAGGGAAGGGTCAACTATACATTTCTGCCTAAAAGACGTCAATATGACGTCTCTCACAACCCCCTCCCGTTCTTAAAGACGTCAGGCTACATTAGAGGTAATTCTTTCACTATATACTTACTTTATTGATTTAATCTTCGGCGCTGATTATATGTGTGCATTCATACGCGTATAACTGGAATTAGTTGTTCAACAAACACAGCAATAAGCAACTCTCATAAACTGCATGTTTTTGTCGTAATTGACACTAATTAGCTGTCATACTGGCTGTCAAAATTCTTAATACTCAGTGTTTATGAGCGTATAATTCGAGAGAATTTTAAGACGTCATATCTTTAAGCCCCCTACCTCTCAGACGTCAAATTGACGTCTTTTCGGCAAAACGTATATTTGAACCTTCCCTTAAAAGCTTAATGAAAGGAGGGTTTCCATAGAAAGGAGAGAACACCATAGCGGTGTTATATAAACATTTTCGTACCGCGTTATCCTAATTGATAAAACAGAGTGTAATTTTCTTTTAATGCAATGACTACAGTACTAAAAGAAGTGTTAAATAAACGATTATTTGAGGCTGCCAAGTCACATGTTTTTCATGTGCATATAAAAACCGTGTTAGGATTTATGTTATGCTGATTTATTTCTTGGGGCCACTTTGAGTACTTGCGTTTTAAGGATTCTCTATGGCGCTTTGACAGCAATAATTGGTTCTTCGACGTTTTAAACGAAAGTCGTGTTCTGAGCATATTGATTAACCAACTACCTAGTTAAGGAAGTTACGGTGTCTATAGGGGTAGGAAAATAGGATCTCTAGTAGCACATGGGTAATGGTAAACTGCCTTTGTACATTTCATACAAAGTTATTACATCAGTATATGCACTTACGCACAACAACTCTATGACATCTCTTCCTCTTGATGATTTTTTCTCCAGTAGTTTTGTTAGAAGAATAGCACAGTTTCTTTGAAAGCTGCAAAATGAAACACTTAAAGTATAGAAGTGCATGTAAATTGGTTTGTACTTATAACGAAGTACGTAACAATTTTAGTTTATGTGTACCAATGGTTTAAGTTCCCCTTTCAAAAAAACATGTTACTTGCGATATTAAATAAAGGTGTGATTTCTAACACATCAGTGAGAAAAGATTGTTGGAGGTTTACCACCTGATGCAATGCACGATATTCTGGAGGGTATGTTACAATACGAAATCAAAGAAATGCTAAAACATTACATAAAAGTACAGCATTACCTTACCTTGGAAGAGCTAAATAGTCGCATTTCCAGTTATGACTTCGAATATTATAACAACAAGAACAATCCAACACTGATTTATGAGCAGATGTTTTCATCAAATGATAAAGCATGGTAAGGTACATCATCCATCCAATGTTCTATCATCCCAATAATGCACTTTATGATCCATATGCCCACAATGATATTGAGGTGATCAACACTATCATATTCTAAATAATAAATATGGGAAAGAATACATTAAAAATTCTAGGTTGTTATTTTAATTCTAATTCTAGTCATGGCCCTTTAGTTCATGCCTGGTGTATGCGGTACAAAGCTAAGCATCACTACTTTAAACGACTAGGCTCATTCATTAGGAACTTCAAAACTTGGCATACCCTGTCTATGAGACATCAACAATGGGTTACTTATCAGCTGCAAAGTGGAAATCATGAATCTTCATTTTTGAGAAAGCCCCAGAAATCCCAAAAAGTAAGTATGTTAAAATGTGCATATGATACTAATAGTTGGAACATCTAAAAGAAACCATTCCACAAATTTGATGATCAAGACATTCCAAATTGTAAACTAATGTTTTTGTGACAAACTACCAGGTCAAACGTGTAATACTGGTGACTTTGAATGTTAAAATCAAATAAAAGACCAAGAAAATGTGCATGGGGTAGGGGGCTTTAAGATGTCATGTCTTTAGGCCCCCTACCTCCCAGACGTCTCATATTGACGTCTTTCCTGCAAAAACGTATATTTGAACCTTCCCTTAAAAATCTTAATGAAAGGAGGGTTTCCATAGAAAGGAGAGAACACCATAGAGGTGTTATATAAACATTTTCGTACCGTGTTATCCTAATTGATGTGTTAAACAAACGATCATTCGAGGCTGCTGAGGCCTATTCTAAAAATAATGATATCCATGTGCATTATGGTAAAACACTTGCAATAACTGCTGATATAAAACGTGGAGACAAAATCTTGGATATGGGTTGCGGAACTGGAGAGTTGACTTCAAACTACCAGGTCAAACATGTAAAACTGGTGACTTTGAATGTTAAAATCAAATAAAGACCAAAAATGTGCATGGGGTAGGGGGCTTTAAGACGCCATGTCTTTAAGCCCCATACCTCACTGACGTCATAGTGACGTGTTTCCCGCAAATACGTATATATGAACTTTCCGTTAAAAGCTTAATGAAAGGAGAGTTTCCATTCAAAGGAGAGAACGCCATAGCGGTGTTATATAAACATTTTTCGTACCGTGCTATCCTAATTGATTAAACAGAGTGTAATTTTCTTTTAATACAATGACTACAGTACTAAAAGAAATGTTAAACAAACGATCATTCGAGGCTGCTGAGGCCTATTCTAAAAATAATGATATCCAAGTGCATTATGGTAAAACACTTGCAATAACTGCTGATATAAAACGTGGAGACAAAATCTTGGATATGGGTTGCGGAACAGGAGAGTTGACTTCATTTCTTGGGAAATTGTCGGCAGAGAGGGTCAAGTGGTTGGTGTCGATCCAGACTTTGGGAGAATTCAATACGCAAAGCAAAAGCATTTGAGCGTAAACATTGTGGTATTTGAGCATGGCGATAGTTCGACTGAGTTTATTCAACGAAATAAATCGTATTACGATGTCCATTTTAGTAATTTTGTGTTCCAATGGCTTTCTCCAGAAAGAAAGAAAGAATTTGTGCGAGTTGCCTTCGAAAGCCTAAAGCGTGGAGGAGTAATTGCAATTCAGAGTCACCAGGAAACTCCTTGCGTGATGAAACAAGTTGAACAAATGATTTTGAACGATCAACATTTTCGCATTGTAAGAAAGATGAAGTAAATATTAGGCCGCTTCCATTCTTTATAAACAAATCAGAAAGTGAATCTATTTTAAGGGATTGCGGTTTTGAAATAATTTCAAATGACTTTTATCTAGAAACTTATAGGTATGCAACAATCCGTGATTTTGTCAACTTTGTCGTGGCTTCTGATTATCATGAGAGCGAAATGCTTTCGCTGAATGCGTTTAAAATGTTTGCGGAATTGTTTGGAAACGACGATGGAAGTGTGGACTTTTTTGATCCCACAGTTTACCAGATTGTAGCAAAGAAGACATAATTCAGTTTTATATAGCAATATCAATGTTTTCTGACGTAAACTGCATATAAAAACTTGTAATCAATGCATGGAGGAAAAACATTAAATTATCGTCAAAAGTTTTATAAATAAGTTTTCAAAAAGTTAAAAGCCCCATTTTGTTGAGAAAGTACGCCGTACACATCAGCTAAGCTGTAGATCGAATATCTCAATACTTCAATCAGCGTTTCCAAACATTTCCATTAATCGAAGTAGCCAACTTGACTAGAGTCTTTTCTTATCTCTTAAGTAACACATAAAAGTTGTGATTCAGCTGTATATTTATTCATGTTGACAATGTACAAAGTACCATCTAAATTACATAAAATCAAAGTAAGCGCATACAAAAATTATCATTATTTATATAAAAATTTTTGGATGAGTTTTGCCATATGCCATCAATAAATATTCAAAGTTTGACCTAGGACAATGGTATCTGCCGAAGCGAGGATAACGTTCACCGATGTTCAAATAATTCTTGACATTAGGCAAAAGATGAATTCAATAAAATTGTTTTATGACTCACCTCAACCAACTAAAATATTTCTTAAAACATATATAGACCCACAACATTTTTTAAAAACTCCGTAATTTTCCTTCAAGTTCTTCTTCTTTAAGTACGTTTAAAATATGTTCAAAGCCAGCTTGGTTGCTTTTTTAGCGTTTACCACATTCTTTTATTCAAAAGCTTTTGCATATCGTTTTTAGAAACTGTTGCCAACGTCACTATTTAATGATTGTCCTCAAAAATTCCTTTTTTGCTTCAGCAATGCAGTAAAAACTATTATTTGTAAGTAAGACGTTATACTTACAAATATCAAGAGTTATTGTTTAATATGACGTCATAATTATAAAGCTTGATAAATATTTGCAAGCAGTTGAACAATCAAAATGATAATACTGCTTATCTTAATTGTACATCATACATTAAAGCACATGCAAAAACATTTCACCCGTGCTCTAGTGCAGGACATCATATTCAAATTTAGTTTATGTGTACCAATGGTTTAATTTCCCCTTTCAAAAAAACATGTTACTTGCGATATTAAATAAAAGTGTGATTTCTAAAACATCAGTGAAAAAAGATTGTTGGAGGTTTACCACCTGATGTAATGCACGATATTCTGGAGGGTAAGTTACAATACGAAATCAAAGAAATGCTAAAACATTACATAAAAGTACAGCATTACCTTACCTTGGAAGAGCTAAATGGTCGCATTTCCAGTTATGACTTTGGATATCATAACAACAAGAACAAGCCAACACTGATTTGTGAGCAGAAGTTTTCATCAAATGATAACAGTCTAAATCAGCATGGTAAGTTACATACGTAAAAACTGATAAATAAGAACTGTTTACAAATGTTAAACAGTTTTGTTCAACATTGTCCACTCCACAGTCAAGTCATTCATTGATTCACAATTTTACAGTTGCACAAATGTGGTGCTTAGCAACTCATTTACCATTGTTAATTAGGGATTTGGTTCCACGGTAAGATGCTCATTGGATTCTTTTCCTACAAATGCTGGAAATAATATTCCTTTGCTTTTCACCAGCGTTGTCCAAAGATCAAGTAGCATACTTGCAGACACTCATCAATGACCATCACCAGGAGTTTTGCAGGCTCTATCCTAGATGTTCTATCATCCCAATAATGCACTTTATGATCCATATGCCCACAATGATATTGAGGTGATCAACAACCATCATATTCTAAATAATAAATATGGGAAAGAGTACATGAAAAAATTCTAGGTTGTTATTTTAATTTTAATTTATCTTCTAGTCATGGCCCTTTTATTCATGCCTGGTGTATGCGGTATAAAGCTAAGCATCACTACTTTAAACGACTAGGCTCATTCATTGGGAACTTCATAAACTTGGCATACTCTATGTCTATGAGACATCAACAATGGGTTACTTATCAGCTGCAAAGTGAAAATCATGAATCTTCATTTATTGAGAAAGCCCAAGAAATCCCAAAAAGTAAGTATATTAAAATGTGCATATGATGCTAATAGTTGGAACATCTAAAAGAAACCATTCCACAAATTTGATGATCAAGACATTCCAAAGTGTAAACTAATGTTTTTGTTATAAACTGCCACGTCAAACGTGTAATACTGGTGACTTTGAATATTACAATCAAATAAAAGACCAAGAAAATGTGCATCCAACAGCAAAAATTAACCAGTATGTAAAAACTTTGTACACAATATTTTATAACATATTGATAAGCAAAAAGGAAAAGAATATACAATGAACTAATCCAAAAAAGAAAAAATTTTCTAAAAATTTACCTGTAATTTTTTATACCAAAATGGATTTCTATTCACGGTACAACATACAAAACTGGTTTTGTGTTGTGGGTTGATCACAATGAGGAAGAGTTACCACGATTTGAAGTTCTAAAAGCCATTTGCATTGTTGAAAAAGAGTTAAGTAATTCTTCCTTTGTCATTGAAGCATTACACACAGTAGCTTTGGAAAAGCATTTTATAAGAAGTGAACAACATTGGAGCCTTGGCAATAGCGAGACAAACACAGCTTGTGCATCCTTTCCCACTTGATTTGATAGCCAAAGATGAAGGTCAAGTGAAGAATTTTGTGTGCCCTATGTTTTAAGTTCCACTTTAACAAGAAAAAATATTAAAATACAAAGCAGTGCTACGTTTACAACATATTATTACTAAGTATTACATGGTGCATCAACATAGGCATTGACCTATAATGATAAATCAATATCAAGTCATTATGCTATGCTCATGAGTGCCAAAATAATGTTATCCACATGCAGATATTACGCATCTTTGCTCCAACAAGAGCATGTAATAGTGATACCAGTTGAAACATTTAGAATAAATAATGTTTGCATTTTATGCAGTGTCCAGCAAAATAAGCACATTTCTACGCCTTGGCATATCCGCATAATAATCAGGTATTGAAATGTTAACAATAGCAGTAGTACACTTTCTAAAGCTCTTATTTGCTTCAATACACCTTCTTCAGTAAACTAACTTCCACCGAGATTTAGACACAAGAATATTGTCAATCTTATCATCTCCTTTTCTGCAATCGTTAACTTTGAACCTAATTCTCATAAAAAGTCAAAGATGTATGTCACCTAGAGCCGTGTAGCTATAAGCTTAAAGTAAAAGCGAGTAAAAATTTTGTTTACTGTTAAGAATTAAATTTAAACTGAAAAGAGATATCAATAGATAGATAGTTTGCAGCGTGTTCAAATCGCATTGTAAGTGTAACGGTGCATAAATTATTATGCCATTGTTGCATAATAAATATTAACGAAAAATCCGGTTTTAACTCACATGAAAGCCTGTGTTTTATTTGCACATAACATGAACACATGTTCGTCTCCTTCTCCTTAAAATTAGTTTTTATCTTATAAAGTTCATCGTAGCATATTATACACCTGCTGTTTGAAAATAATAATTTTAACTCATTTATAAGAATGCATTGCCATACTCACTCCTTAAAAACCCACCATAATTGTTTTATCAAATGTAGTTTTACCACAGACGTACGTAGTAACTTTTACCCCAGATGACTGTACTAATTTTTACCCCAGATGTCTGTAGTAATTTTACCCCAGATGTCTACAGTAGTTTTACCCCAGATTCGGTAGTAATTTTACCCACTAATTTGATTTACCCCAGCTTCCAGTCGCATTGTCCCACTTTTGGTGTAATTACTACCCCAGAACACCCAAAACAGGATAATTATTTCAGTCGTTTTCATTACTCTATAAAATGGGGTATACATTCAATAAGGTATACTATTTTACTATTTTACAAATAGAAATTACTATACAAAACTATATCTTAGATATATCTTAATTACACCTCACCTACAAGATCAGTCCACAAGTTAAAGTAACCTTGAACAAATCAGCGGAAGACAAATTGTCAACTTAAAGGTCGTCAAATCTTAGCCTCAGAATTTGACACGGATTCAAATTCTATTTTGCCTTATTTACACGGAAGTTTTTTACATTTAGCAATAAAAAGATTAATTTACACCAAAAAAGCAAGAGCGAATGATGTAACTTGTGAGTTAAAACTTTTTGCGACATGCTTAACTACGGTGGCCTATAAGTGTCACGGCAACATTTGAATACAAAATCTCACAGCAACATTTAAATACAAAATCTCACGGCAACATTGAAAACTCACGGCAACATTTGAATACAAAAATCTCACGGCTACATTTGAATACAAAAATCTCACGGCAACATTTGAAAACTCACGGCAGCATTTGAAAGCTCACGGCAACATTTGAATACGAAAATCTCACGGCAACATTTGAATACAAAATCTCACGGCAACATTTGAAAACTCACGGCAACATTTGAAAGCTCACGGCAACATTTGAAAACTCACGGCAACATTTGAAAGCTCACGGCAACATTTGAATACGAAAATCTCACGGCAACATTTAAATACAAAAATCTCACGGCAACATTTGAAAACTCACGGCAACATTTGAAAGCTCACGGCAACATTTGAATACGAAAATCTTACGGCAACATTTGAAATTCTTACGGCGGAAGCAAAGTGAGGGAAGTTAAATCATTGACTTATAGTCTAAAAAATATAAAATGGCAGAATACATTAAAGAATACGATGTCGATGACCATGAAAATCTTGAACAAAGCAGTGAGGAAGAGATCATACGTTATTATTTCCTAAAAGGATTTCAATACAAAGAAATTCTTAACTTCATAAGAAAATATCACGGTAAGCAGATTAGCATGAGTACATTAAAGCGAAGAATAAAACATTTTGGTCTTTGACGAAAAAACAGCCATTATGATATGGACGTTGTACGTGATGCAATTCGTGCGGAATTAGACGGTCCAGGAGGTTGCCGAGGTTATAGTTTAATATGGCATGCCCTTCAAATGAAGGGAATAACTGTACCTAGAGACGTTGTGGCAGGATTGTTACTTAAGAGCTTGATCCAGAAGGAGTGAAAGAAAGATCTAGACGCAGATTGAAGAGAAGGATTTACTGGAATCCTGGACCAAATTTTTCCTGGCATTGTGACGGATATGACAAGTTAAAACCATATGGCTTTCCAATCCATGAATGTATAGACTGATGGAGCCGTAAAGTCCTTTGGTTATATGTTACTAAGTCAAATAATCTACCAAGTAATATTGAAACGTATTATTTGGAGGCTGTGGAACAATTTAATGGCTGTCCTGCAGATTTTATTACAGACCTTGGTACGGAAAATGGCCTTGCCGCTGCCATTCACTCATTTTTCGTAATGACCCAAGCAGTCATAAGTATGTGTCTTCACCCAGAAACCAAAGGATAGAAGGGTGGTGGTCATTCCTGAGAAAAGATCATGCAAATTGGTGGATCAATTTTTTTAAAGATCTGGCTGAAGAAGGAACTGTAGACCTCTCCATTCCTCTTCATGTGGAATGCCTTTGGTTTTCTTTTGCAGATTTGCTCCAAAAAAATTTAAATGAAGTAAAAGAGCTGTGGAATTCACATTACGTCCGAAAATCAAGGTATGACACTCTACAAGGAAGGCCAGATTCTCTGTACTATTTTCCCGAACTTCAGAATGGTGAATGTAATTTGCTTTTGCCTGTTCTTGAGTCTGAAAGACTATATGCTAGAGAGCATATCATATGTGAACATGATGCACCAACAAGATATTTTTTGTATGTGATGGAAAATTGCTCATTACAGAAACCCCAATTGATTTGACCAAAGTTGATGATAAATATTTAACTGAAAAAGAAAAAGAAAAACTTTATGACATTCGACTTGATTGTACCAAATACTGTGATTTCATTTTGGATAATGGCTACACTGGAGTTGTTGAGGGAAGTCATGTTGAAGATATTATAAATTCCCTGAAAGTAAAGTTTGTTAGCAATCGCATACTATACATGAATGAGTTTTAAAAAGGTCTGGATGTTTATGGACTTGGAGATATGATTATGAAAAATCCAGATGCTTGTCATTCTCTTTTTGTGAAAAATTTATGTGCTGATATGGTTCTTGATGCAGATTATCTTTTTTCTTTGGTTGAACCTGTGTTTTCAGAGGAAGGATCTTCAAGGCGAGCCTTAGAACACACTATAGTGGACAACCTTCAAGATTTTTTTATTTCACTAGAGGACACATTAGTACCGGGGTATTCAACAGCAGTTGCTTGGAAATATGATGAAGAAGAGAATGTTAACATAAACACAGAAGAATTATTTGAAATGCCAGAAATGTCTGTAAAAGGTGTTATGGGATGGCTCACTGGCCAAAGACATAAACATATTCTACCTAAAGAGAAACCTTCGATTACTCTAAATTTTGACCATGATTGCCTGGTAAGAAATCCAAACCACACGACGTGTTTTCCGTTAGTTGGAGCTTGTGGGAGAGCTAACCATACCAGTTGTACATATGTGCGAGTCAGGAAGTTTAAAGAAATTTTGTCATGGCATATTGTAAAGTCAATCATTTGCTAAAGCATGAATTAAAAGAAGATTGACATTTTAAAATTGAGAAAGAAATATGTTCACATTTTGTTAAATTTTTTAATGAACTGTTTCACGTGAACTTTTAATAAGCTGGAGAACTTAAAATCAGAGCCCTCTAATGAAACTAATCTTGTGACTTATGTTACAGTTTTGTTTTCATTTTAACAACAAGAAGCTTAGTAAATCAGTCAGAATTTTTTATGTTATCAATAAAATCTATGCAATTCTCAGTCCACAATGTTTGCATGCCGTATTAGTGTAACAAACAATTCTACAGCTTCCTTCACGTAAAACAGTTCATTAAAAATTTAACAAAATGTGAACATATTTCTTTCAAATTTAAAATGTCAATCTTTTTTAATTCATGCTTTAACAAATGATTGACTTTACAATATGCCATGACAAAATTTCTTTAAACTTCCTTGACTCACATATATGTGGTTCTCTCCACAGAAAACACAAAACACGTCAATTTAATTCTTACCAGGCAATCATGTCAAAATTTAGAGTAATCGAGTTTCTTTGGGTAGAATATGTTTATGTCTTTGGCACCAATGTGTCCTTTTAAACATTTCTGGCATTTCAATATTCTTCTGTGTTTATGTTAACATTCTCTTCTTCATCATTTTCCAAGCAACTGCTGTTATTGACTAATGTGTCCTCTAGTAAAAAAAATCGAAGGTTGTCCACTATAGTGTTCTAAGCTGCTGAAGTCCTTCCTCTGAAAACAGGTTCAACCGAAAAGATAATCATCGAAACATATCAGCAAAATTTTCACCAAAGAAAGAATGACAGCATCTGGACACTAAATCTCGCCTTCCGAACCTGCATTCATGTATAGTAGCGTTGCTAACATTTAATATCTTCAACATGACTTCCTTCAACTCCGTGTAGCCATTATCCAAATGAATCACGGTATTTGTACCGGTATCATGAGTTTCTTTTTCTTTCAGTTAAATATTTATCATCAACTTTGGTCAAAATCAAGCAATGGTTTCTGTAATGAGCAATTTTCCATCATACAAAAATATCTCTGATAGTTGT